TCTCTCTCTCTCTCTCTCTCTCTCTCTCTCTCTCTCTCTCTCTCTCTCTCTCTCTCTCTGTCCAAGACTGTCATAAGGAACACTAGTAAAACATTAAAGGAACACGTTTTGTAGGAAAGGATCTGGGAAGGACAAGAACTCATGCTCTTTCACCATCTGTCCTGTCCTGATTTTTATCTCATTTCTTTACAAATGAAAGAAGACTTTCTGTAGAAACATCAAAAACAAGCAACGATTCTTGTTCTATGAATTAAATGACAATGTTTTCAGGACATTGGGAGTAATAAAATTTAACAGTAATTCAATTAACATGATAACTTTTTTTTTTTTTGACACGGGATCAAACTCAGAACCTTGCGTTTGCCAGGCAGGCGCTTATGCCACTGAGCTATCTCCCCGCCCCCAACAGGATAACTTTGAAATAGGTTTTATGGTGAGAAGCCGAAAAGACCATCAGGTTCACTCCACGCATATCATGTTTATTTTTACAGCGTTTTCAACATTTAAATGGCAGTGAATTGTTAAAGGAAGCGACCTGAGCTGGAGGTTGGATCTCTTTCCCACACCCCAGCTCCTGCCATCCATCCTGCCTTCCTAATCCCCGTGATGGGAACTATTTTCCTCCACCCTGCCCTTCCTGCCTTGGAGGTGTTCAACGTCCACGGAATCCTTTAAGTTGCATAAGTAAAATAAGGCGCTTTTCCTTCCAGGTGTACGTGTCCGGCGTTTTGTCCCACCAGTGAAAAATAAGATACTCCATCCCCCGAGGTTTCCAACCATAGTTTGGGGTCACAGCTTCTCCAAGCATTATCCAGAATGTGTTCAGGCCATGTTTGTCATACCCACATTAGTACACCAGACACTGGGTCAGTCCCACTGCGTGTATAATTTGTAGTGAGATGATGAACAGTGAGACTCAACACTTTGACTCGGCTTATTTTCTTTGTTGCAATGGCTAGTTACAGGTTATGCGCACTTCCACAAAACTGGAGTCCCCGACGTATCCGCAAGTCTAAGATATCCTCATGTTCTTCACCTCAAAGTCTTCTAGTGCAAACACTGTTGGTAAATCTTTCAGTCTGTCTCTTGGTTTTTAATCAAAGGTGTCCTTTAGGAGTGCAAAGGTTTTCGATTTTGGCTACATCTTGATCATCTTTTTGTTTATTTTGCTTTATTCTCTCTCTTTCTCTCTGTATCTCAGTCTCTGTCTCTTGCTGTGTCTCTCTCTGCTTTGTCTGTTTGTCTCTGTCTCTCTCTGTCTCTCTCTGTCTCTCT